CAGACAGCAGCTGGAATTTTATTAAAAGGAATCGACCTTACTTCGGACAGAACAGCTCATCGAGTGGGAGATTGTGGAGCAATTCATAATGACAGCGATGAAGCTGTACACACCGCCCCCTCACCCCCGCTAACTGTGATTGGACTTGATCCAAAAAGAAGGAGAAACATTCTCTCCTTATATGACTCACTTCTCGCATTATGCAATGGACAGTAAGCAACGCTTGTAATCATCGCTAGATATTTTTTTCTTCTAATACCTAATAAGTATGTTATTTTGTGTTTGCTAATATAATGATCGTGTTCCTTACATCGGCAGCTTGGATTACACTTTTAGGTAAAGAAAACTTTAATTCTGTTTATTTCATCTGCTTGTCTCGATTTAGCGAAGTGTGACAGTAAACAAAATGAACCACGATACTTCACAGAAAGAGTATAGTAGTACAATTTCAAGAACAGAAGAATGCATCTTAAAATTAGACAAAAGTTTGAAAATACAGTCAACAAGTCGTTAATTCAGACACCATAATCCGGACCTCAAAGCTACAACTTTCTGCACATGCGTCCGCGTTCACACATGCGCCAGGCGTTTAGTGCGTGTAAGACCTTTACGGCTCGAATATTTTGTGCGCAGGCGCGTTTGTGTGTAATGGGGTATAAGCTAAGCTAAAATTATCTAATTCAGTTAATGTGCAGATTGCGTTGTTCCTTAATCTTCGAATGGATCTGGCTTATTTTTTTTGCAGACTGTTAGAGCAATTTCATAAAGTAAGCTGAAACTTTCGATTATGTCAATAAATTTCCGATATATATTATATATGTTTGTATCTACAAGCGAAGTATGTTTTGAATCGAAATCTGTTATCAGTTCCACGCGCGGATTGGAAGTTGATCTTCAGCACTATCCGTTATTTCAGCAGGCTTATTGGAATAATTCCTTACTAAATGTAGATTTCATTTCAATGTACTCTGTCTGATATATCTAAATCAAGTTCCTCGTCATTATAATCGCTTTTGATAGTGAAGAAAAAAGGACCCAGAGGTTATTAAAACGAAAACATTTTGACAAATTAGTCGGTATGCTCAACACAGCTAGGACACAGCGGAACTTTGTAACTAAACAGATTATGTTTGTTTAATAGAATAAAGAAAGTATTATCACATGAAACGAAGCACTTACATTGAAAAAATGTTTATAAAGTAAAAACAAATAAATATCAAGCTTTTTCTTTTTGAAATTTGATCCCTTTTAGATCATAATTGTTCTTTATTTAATAAATACAGTTCATTTTAATTTGTAATTCTGCATGCCATCTTACCAGATTTAAACTGATGATCTATAATCCGTAATCAACGAAAGTCCCGACGAGTCCGGATTAACGACTTTTGACTGTAACAGGAGCCTGAATAAAATATAAATAAAAAAAATTCAAGCTTACTCATGTTACCACATGCTATTGAGATACCTATTTTATATGAAACTGCTCATCATTGCATGATTCTCAGCCTCTTCAAGGTGGGTTTCGGATAATGTGCCTCTTTTATATGAAACTGCACGTCATTACATGAATAGCACAGAAAAATTATCAGGAAAAGATAAAAGTTGTATTACATATCTGTAGTAGAGCTGCAAACAAGGCAACAGAAGAATTTATAATGGATATAGAATAAATATGAAGCTAGTGAATTTCCTCCTGGAATATTTATGCTCTCTTTCTTGCTCAGGATTGCTGTTTAACCCTCTGAGCAGCACAGGATTTTAGATCCTTCATGAAGACTGGTATTTAAACAGCATTTATTAATTAAGTTTGTATATATTTACTTATTTCAGTCTGTATTTTCATAAACTTGCATTTATTAAGATGATATTTACATTATTGACCCTTTCAGGACGGGCGTCCCATATACGCATTCCCTAAGAACGTCTCTTACAGCCGGGCGTCCCTTCCACGCATCACTAGAGGTCGCATTTAGAGGATGGGTGATGTGTATACGCATTTTAAGCTGGAACGTTTTTGTGAAGGCCACTAGATGGCATCCTATGTCTATTACTTTTGAAATGAACACAGTGTTCCTGACCTTGAGTTAGATATATTCTGCTTGAATTTTGTATTTTACTCATCAGCTCTTGCAGGGTGGGGGGAAGGGAAAGCATAAACAGAGGTGAGCTCTTTAAATCTCTGTGGGCTAATGAAACTTCGAGTCGATTTCTATCCAATTCCTTTTTTTATTCTATTTTTTCCTTTACTATGCACGGTCTTTTAGGGTTAGCTTGTGGAGTACTGTGACGTTTTGCATTGCCTTCAGATATATTTCCGTTTTTTCTCTTTTTATTTCAGAAAGACTCACCTCCAGTCTATTATGGTGGGAAGGCGCCATTTTTTAGAGGAAGAATACCCTTGTATGGTCAATGAACCATTTATTAACACACATGAGGGTGACGATTCATTTTCTAATGAGTTAGAAAGTGATACTTTTTCTAAAAGTTAGAAGTGATACTTCTCCGTGCTTCGAGATCACTCAGTCTTCATTTTAAATTTTGTTTCTTCTTACTGTAAATAGTCTTTGTTGTGTTGTTTTAATTTTAAAACTAGTGATGGATTTTATCAATTTAAAAATTTTGGCATAATTTGAATAGGGCTTTCGAAATTATTTTACAAGATAAGCAATTTCTAAGTATATTTTTATGTAAAATAAAGAAAAAAAAAGAAAATAAATGTTTTTAAGTGCTTATTTAACATATGTGCCTCTTTTATAGAAATATAATCTAAAAAAATGATACCAAAAATGCAATGCTGAGCGAAACTTTTTTTTTTTTTTTTCTGATTTTTTTTATAAAATTAGGCTTAGCGATGCAAAACCTCCGTCCTGTACGGTGACTGCCTTCAATTCCCTTCCATCCCGCTCGAGCGTCTTAAACAAAGGTGCGCCATCGCGAAAAGGTTAAAGAAAGTAAGAAAGTGTCTTAAATTAGAAGCTAATATCTGACAAGTAGCAAAACTTCTTATGACCAGATAAAGCCGATCATAACACTCAGAGGGCTAACTGAGATATTTTCTCATATATTGCTACCAGATTCTCACTGACATGTTAGGTAAAAGGATGCATTTTATTCAAGGTTTAATAGTTGTAAACAAACTTGTGTTTTCTCTCATAACACACTTATATGTTTGGTTGAAGTATAATGGTTGCTGGCATTGTGGTTGCATCCCTTTAATTCACAGTTGAAACGACATAATGCTGAATGATATTTTCTTACATCACCAGTGAAGTCTATATGCCATTGCTGCTAGGGTACAATGAAAATTATGAATGTCGTATTCTAGAAGTAGCATAGGATTCATTTGCAGTAATTATGCCATGTAGTGCCAAAGTCGCTGGCTCATGTTACTGTATCTTTCAGGTGTAAACGTTAGGGCCAGATCTTTGTCATATCGAATTGACACAGCCAGAGCTGATGGAATGAAATGAGCTTGTGCTTCAAAATAATGCAGAATCTCATTATCATTACGATGTTCAAAATCTAGGACATGGATGAAATGGGAATTGTAGGCTCAGGCTACTACTGTCAATTTCTTTTCATGTGATTGTTGGTTATTTATCTGGCTATAGCAAAAGTTTTCTGAAAAAAAAAGAAAAAGAAAAAAGATTTTAATAATGTTAGGAAACAAAAAACATGAAAGCAGTACCTTTAATGCAAGTAGTAATCACCGCCGATGTTTTGGAGGTATAAGCCTTCGGCCCAGAAATTTGATGGCTGTGAATCCAAAAACAGATCAACCTCATTTCATAGGTCCTGTGCAGAGTGGAAAATAGTAGCAGCAAGATATAGCTGCAGGTGTTAAAAAAGGTAGAAGTCCAAAGGAGCAAAGTCGGGGCTATGTGGTGGGTGTGGCAAAGGATGCAGACACATGTGGTCTTGCATTATCTTGATGGAACATTACCTTTTTGCACCAGAACTCAGTTCTACATTTTTCCTTGAAAGCATCCTCAACATGGACTAGCATCTCGCTGTACAACTTACTGTACCTTTTCCCAGATACTCTTTGTGGATAATACCCATGCAATACCATCAGATCCCAAACATGATCTTTTTGTTAGTCAAATTGGGCTTTTTGATGCTGCCAACAGGCTCACCGAGTGCAGACCAACTCCCTTTTGGGCCTGTATTGTTGAAGTAAATCTACTTTTCGTCACAAGTGATAATCCACTCCAGAATTTTATCCTTGTCTTTATATTTGAGCAGATTATTGCAGGCCCGAACACGTCTCTCCTGCTTGAGTCAGCTCATGCAGCACCACAAGTTCTCGCGGGTGGGATTCACCGACATCAGTAGACCAGCTACAGTACTCTGCTTCTTGAATGTCGTAATCCATATTTTTTAGCTTTCGGTACCAAACCTTCATAATATCATATGATACAGCATCAGTACCTAAAGCTGTACACATGATTTGGGGACATTTTATAGCTGACTTTTTGCAATAAAACTGGAAGTAAATGATGGTTCTAATCTGGTAGCGTGATGATTTCATTTCACAACACTGTGTTCTAAAGCAAGTCTCTTTCTTTCAAGTGCCAAAAATCATTTGACAGTATATGATTAAACATGCCAGTGTGAACTGTTTCAGTTTCGAAGAAACTTTTGTTAAAACCTGATAACAGCTAAGTTAAGGAAAAGCCTTGGGGTAAGTGATGTGCAGGGCAATAGGATATCAACAGTGCTGTACATTCTCTGGTGAGTGAATAATTTTTAAGATGCAGTTTTATTTCTTACTAAGGAGACTACAAACATACATATAAAATGGCAACTGAATGGTATGTTGAAAGAGTAGTTAAAGATTATAAATTCAAAAGGATAATGTGTAGGAACGAGTGATTTAAAAACAAGTTATCCATGCTGCATAAAAGCAGTAGATCATCAAGTATTTCATAGAAAATGTATTTAGACAAAAAAAAAAATATTAGTTTTGAAACTATTCTGATATATATGTTTTTCTATAGAACGTAGAACAGATGCTCTCAGGATTATGTATTGTGTGTACGCAACCTGGTGATCTCGTGAAGTGTGATACATGTGCAAAGCAACAACATCCTGGTTGCATGCAACCACCAGTAATTGCACCACCACAGATTCCATGGCAGTGTAGTGATTGCCAATCTAGAACTGTCTCATTAACTGTAGTTCAGAGTTATGATGTGCTTAAAGCAGGTATGTTATAGCAAAATCATTGACAGCATCTTTCTTTAATTCATTTATAGTTTAATATTGTTTTGACACAGTTGACCGCATAGGATATCTAAAATAAATTGTGTATTTTATTGTGAAAAAAATGTCCCATTTGTAATGTGCATTGAGGTAACTGTTAAGGACATAATGATGAAGTTTAAGTGTTCAACAGTCTTATACTTTTAGTCTTTGTTAATAGCAGTGAACGTCACATGTCTGTCAGAACGGTGTGAGTATCATTTCTTATGATGCATTTTATCCCTTATATAAATTTTTATTGCTGGTAAAAATGGAATATATTCTGCAAGGTCTACCTACATATACATATATTTGTTAAATTCTTTTAAGGCTTTTCTCATTTCTTGTAATGGTATAAGTGACTGATAATTAGATATTAAGTTTGACAAGTGGAATACATATTCTCTGTTACTGTTATTCTGCCTGTCAGTATGATATAGTTTAAACCAGGGATGGGCAAACTTTTTCGGTTGCGGAAAATTGGGAGAAAAAAAAAAAAAAAAAAGTTAGGCGGACCAAGATAAATTTTTTTAAAACCGTAAAAACAATATACAAGTATTACAATTTAAATATGTTAATGAGAGGAATGAAATTGTGATTTCATTTTTAAATGTTCGAAGTGAAATGTACTGATTTTAAGGAACGAGGCTAAATTCTCATCTGTCACTCTACTTCTGAAATAATTCTTTCTAAGGTTCATCGTTGAAAACACTTGTTCACATATATAAGATGAAGCAAACATAGCACTGATATTCTGGGCATGAGCTATTAAATTTAAGAAACTCGCTTTCGATAATGATTTGTAAAACCCTAACTTTGGCATACTTAGAAACAACTGTCTGAGATGACTGTTAGATTGCAACTCAGTTAATTCAAGCTGTAAATCTGACCTCACTGCTTCACAGTTTATGTCGAAAGGCATGGTAAAGATATCTAGTTCTGTTTGAATGGCCCTAAAATCTTGAAATCTGCTTTCAAACTCAAAATGCAGTTTATTCAAGCCATCTTCATAATTCTTAAGCTTCTCTTCATTTACTGAAGGGTATTGAATTTAATCTTGGGAAATGAGGCAAGTCGTTCTTAGCTAGCTGCCCAGAAAACAGATTAAGTTTTAGTTTTAAAGCTTTGAAATGAGCCCAGATATCGTCAATCAATTGAATTTTCCCTTGCATCTTGACATTCAAGTTGCTCATATGACAAAGAAAATCTGTGAAAAATGCGAAGTCCGAAAGCCATTCTGTATATTCTAACATTTCGCACTCCGCAGAACTGTCTCATGGAAGAATGACACTCTGTCTTTTTTTAGCTGCCAAACTTGCTCGAAAACACATCCTGCACTAAGCTACCTTAACTTTTGTGTAATACCGTACAACAGAACTATTCAGATTGCGCAGACTGAAGAAAATCTCGAAATTGCTTGTGAGTAAGCCCACGAGATCAAATAGTATTTACAAGCTTCATGACTGCATCAAGCAGGAGTTTCATATTCAATGCAGATTTATACAGAGCATCTTGATATATAACACAATTTAGAAAAACAACATTGTTCCCGGGATAATTTTGATTAAAGAATCCTAGAAATTCAGATTTTTTCCCTCTCATATTTGGTGCTCCATTGGTTGTAATAGTACATATATTTGTTATAGGCACTTTCAAAATTAAAAGCCCTTCCAGAAATTCACAAAAAATATCACATCCTGTTGCAGTTCCCTTTAAAAAACACATGCATGCCAGTTCTTTGGTAATTTCAATGTTCTCATCAACACCTCTTATAAATAATACCAATTGAGAAATATCATTTATATTGGTGCTTTCATCTATAGCTATGGATCAAAATTTAAACTAGCCACTCTTTGACTCTAATTGTGATGTCAAATTTTTATTGATGTCTTCGATTCTAGAAGTCACCGTTTTTCAAGATAAGCTTACAGTCTCAAAATTGTTTTTCTTCTCTGGGCAGAAAACATCACAAATGTGGAGCATGCATTGTTTAACGAGCTCCCCATCACTGAGAGCTTTATTATTTTTAGCAATATTGTATGCTACAATGTAACTTGCATGTGTAGCTGCTTCTTGGATACTGTTTACCTTCTTGAAAAAATGTTGTCTGCCTGATGATTTTTTACAAAGACTTTCTGCATTTTGTTTTCTTTCATATTCAGACATTGCTTTGTAATTGAAATTCTTATGCTTAGATGTGAAATTACAAGAAATGTTATATTCTTTAAAGACTGCTACAGCTTCATTGCAGATGAGACACACTGGTTTATCTTAAAAAAAAAAAAAAAAAAAAAAAAAAAAAAAAAAAATCCAGGTCCATTCATCATTAAAAGCATGGCACTCTGAATCAAATTTACATTAGTAGCCATTTTGAGGTTGAAATATTTTATGAATAACTCAAACAAGCACTAGCTAAGTTATACGCTTAATAATTTCACCGCTATTCAGAATGGTGTTATATGTCTGCAATCTTTCCTTACGCAATCAATAATATTAGAAATCCTGTGAAAAGAAAATTAGATGCCCATATGTCTGCTCCCCGAGAAAGAGATAACGATTGTTGGCTCCAATCTACAGCTGTAACTAATAAAAAAACTTCCATTTTTAACACTTTTAACTGATTGAAAGCTATCTGTGCTTGCTACTTCCGTCGATTTACGTTTTATAGAAAAAAAAATAGAGAAAGTAAAATGATCACCATTTCTTTGGGAAAAAAGAAAGAAAAAAATAATATTTAAACAAAGTAGAAAAGGAGATGGATATATAATATATAAATATATATTTCTTTTGATTTCCCTCGGATCGGCAAATTAAAATTCTATTCACAGATCGGATAGAGCCTTCCGGCAAGCCATAGTTTCCCCATGCCTGGTTTAAACATTTTAATCTTAAGAATACTTCATTTTTTTAATTATCAATTTACTCTATTATTATTACTATTATTGGTTCAGGGGGGGGCAATTTTCCCTGAAGGACTATTAATTTCATTTTGGCATTTTGTGTTTGAAAACTATAAACAGAGAATAACTTTTCAATTTGTCAGCCACCAAATATTAAGCCCTGTTATAAAGAAATTACATAATGAAGAATCTGCATGAATGTATTATGTTTCTTGCATTGTGATAAAATGACGGTACTTAAAGCCATCAAAATTTGAAAGACGTAATCTTCCATAGAATATGGGCATGTGGAAGCCCTAATTTGGAATTTAAAATTTGTTTTATTATCGATTTCATATTTTTTAACACTTCAACAAATTTTTTATTAACAAACTAAACGATTTCAAAGTGAGCAATGGCAACACTTTACGTGGGATACGTTTTTATCTTCAGGGCACGGCACGAGACTCTGTATTGGAAATTCTAAAGATATGCTCATTTTAAAATTATTTTTGCTGTTCAACTGAATTTTATGGCTTGTGTATGTAGAACATGATATTCAATAAATAAAGGTAACACACAAAATGTTAAAAAAGTGCCCCTTTGAACGTAATTTAAAATTTGAAACTTTTTTTTAACAACTTATGGAAGTAGCATTGCTGTGTTTTGTTAACCTATAGTAAAGCCTCTTCAAGAAATACCCCAGAAGGACACATTGGTTCTGGCTGGTTCCAAATTGCTAGAAACACTTTCCTAGCTGTTACTAGCTGATACATGAGCTTTGTTTGTTTGATGGAATTAATATCAACCAAAAAAAAAAAAATAATAATAATTCCGTGCAGTCTCATATTATCTATAGCATGTGAAGAATGTGTAATCAGGAATTATCACATCAAACAAGAATGAATTTATAATAAAGCTTAAACAAATTACATGAGACTGAAATTCTCTATTTCTTATTCTGTATTAAATATATAGAATATTAGAAGTATGTGGTAGTATTTGTGAACCAAAACTTTATTTGTAATGTATAATGGGTACTTTTTGCTTTTTTGCACTACTATAAAGTGGTGGCTTTTGTGAATAGGGGAAAAAAAAAAAAAAAAAAAAAAACAATTGTTTGAATATATTTATGGCCTATGGTGGTACTGTTCTTTTCATGAACAACAAAAGGAAAGCCTTCTTTTCAAGAAACAAGAAATTTGGTGGGGGAAAATAAACATTTTTACAGCCACTGAATACTATTCAATGAAATAATTATTAAAATAATGCATATAAATCTGCACACAGTCAGAAAACATGTATGATATGTTCATAAGTGAGTTGGCTTTTGCCGCAGATATATATATGTTTGAACCGAAAACACAAAAACATGGCAATTTTCCCACATGTTGAAACTGGTGGTGCAGGTAATGAAACCAGGACAGAGGGTGACATGGATAATTAGAAAGCATCGTATCACGTATTGAGCTACTTCCCCCCCCCCTTTTTTTTTTTTTGGTGATTATTATTATTTTAGAACCTTATGTGTGATGTATGGTTGCTTTGCAAAATTGAACCTTATTTTGTACTTTGCGTTTCTTTAGCATCCTCATAAATCGTAAGAAACTTGCAGAAGATTTCACTTACTGAAAAATTAGTTAGCAGAATATTCTTAATGTTAAAAAAAAAGTTAATTTCATGAAAATATGGCATTTTTAAGGCTATATAAATATTTGCATATGTAGAAGGCTATCATGTTTACATATATCTTTTTTTTTTTTTTTTTTTTTTTTTTTTTGAGGAGCATTGGCATTGATTTTAAGTATTTATTTAGAAATAGGACAACAATTTGTAAAATATGCTCATTTTTATGCTGATGAAATATTTTGCCTGAAAAATGCTTTTTTTTTTTTTTTTTTTTTTTTTTTTTTTTTTTTTTGCATGTGCCATTTAGTAAACATTGATAGAAAGTTATATTCATTAAAATAAAATTATTTCAGCTAAAGAAGATGAGAAAAAGAAACTTTTAAAGAAAAGCTTGGAATTAAGGCTAAAAAGATCACAGCTTGAAAGTAGGCTTCTTCAGCTAAGGGAATTATCTAATGTGAGTTCTTTACCTGTTATTGTAGTACTTTTTTTCTCTGGCATATTGTGGTGATATTTGATTGAAAACTGGGGAAGACTTTTAATAAAGAGATTGGAAATTATACCTATGACATTAGACTCTTAAGCCTTCTATATAAAAAATATTTACGGGACTGAAACGTTGAATGACTAATTAAAAAATAGTGCATATTATTTCTTATTTTTGTAGTTTTAGTCATGTATAATTATGAAATATATTACAATAAAATATTGCCTTTGGGAAATGTTGTTTCCATCAAATATTTTTGCACGTGTTTAAAGTTAGATTTACTAAAAGATTAGATTTTCTTTTCTTTTTTCATTAATTCTCAAGGAGGCATAAAACAGCAGTAAGAGGTTAGCAAGGTTTAAGGTATAGTAATATTTGGAGCTTGTAACAGTGAACGTCATTTAAATTGATGCTGAATGCTAAAATTTGTTATATGAATTCTTCAGTCGAGAAGTTTATGTTGAATCCCCTATATGCTCTTGTAAAAATACAGTACAAAGTCCGAGATCTGGAACTTCAGCATTTCCAAATTTGGGACTTTTCCGTATATGAGACCATAAATACAAATTTTATAATATGACATATAGGAATTATAAAATTAAAAATATGAAATAATGAAGTATTAATGACCTTAACAGAATCAAATTTATTAAAAAACTCAGTATTTATTTGTTTGTCTTATTAAACATTTCTTTCGAGGTAAGTTGTTCAAGTTGCTTCATTTTCTGCTAATACTTTTTCTTTAGTTCTATAGATGGACATAATTTCTTGTTCAGTTACAAAGTTCCTTTGATGTCGAGAATTCCCCCTAAACTATCTCAAAATCTGTTGATTTTCAACAACCTTTTTGTCACTTTCAAAATACTGATTATTTTCTGGATTTAAAAACATACTACAGATTTCACTATTCATTAGTTAATAGATGATTGGGGCATTACCATTACAATAGAAAACTTTGTGAAAAAAAAAATATGAAGAAATGAAGGAAGTAGCTAATGAACTGCATGATAAAGATCAAGACATGATGGATGAAACATCTAACGGGATTAAAGGAAAACAACGAAAACATGAAGAAATAAAAAACGGGAAACAAGCTTTTGATTCTCAAGTGCCTGAAGTGGAAGAAAGTGAAAATGCAACTGTTAAGTTCGTCAAAAATGATACTGAGGTTACGAAGTCACAGTTATCAAGAATTGAATCATCTGAAAGTTCATGTGATGCAGAGATGGAGAAAGCCTATGTGCAGCTTAAGCAGTGTGCTCCAGTATTTCAAGAAAATTCACCCACCACAAACTGGGTGTATGCCTCATAGTGCAGGTTTTGCAGACAAGGACTTGATTCTAAACCAGGATACTTGCATTTGTAAATTATTGGGCTCCATTCATGATTCTGATGCAGAATTTGGAGCTGGTTTCCAGGAAGCGCTGGAAAATGAACATGTACTAGCTGCTGAAAATACCGAGGTAAACTGTATACATGTTGCGAATGAACTACAGAGTAGTGAACAAACTGTTTCATATCTTCCTGTGGATGACATGTCTGAAAGGACTGAATCTTCAGACTGTGATATGCGAAACAGAAATACATCTGAGAACTGCAGTGGAAAAGTATTTGACCTCAGTACATTTTAATGAAAAGACTGAGACTGAAATTCATTCTTAACTTTATTTTGTATAATTTAAAATTGTGATGTGTTTAATTTGTGTATGTAACTTGTACATAGTGTAAATATCTGTTTCTTTACTTATGTTATTTATTTATACCTTATGTTTATTTCATTATGTTTTGTTTGTATCGAATTAGGCTTCTGACCAAGGGTTGTACTGCCCGGGACATGCAATCCTTGGGAGGAGACAGTGTTATGAAATGTACAGGCGTGGTAAGATGGCTTCCCCCTAAAACAAGTTTAGGGTTGCCATAAAATGGCAAGGAAGGGCAGGGTTGCCACATTTGGCTAGAAATCGCCCATTTGGCGACAAAATAGGGGATATGCCATGGACAGATGGAGAACCTTCTGGGATGAATTCTTACCGGTTTAGCCCAGAATGTTCTCGAACACAAGGCAAAAGCTATATAAACCCTGCTGATCTGCAGTCAGTTAGTAAGTGCCTCGTCTAGCGAGTTGATAGAGAGTGTGTCTTGTCGAAAGGGCAAGTCAGTGTATGCCTCGCATAGAGTGTGAGATAGTTAGTATCAAGTTGGTGTCTCATCTAGCAAGTCAATCCCTGCGAAGTCGATCAAGTTGCCAACCGGACAGCGAGTGCCGAATAGGTCGTCGAGTGCACCGAAAGAATCTCGTAGTGTATCGCGGTTAGTGCATCGTCAAGAGAGCATGTTGAGCTCCGAGAACGACCAAGCAGAGTCAGGAGCTGTACTCAGGTGCGTTGCAGTGTAGCTGTCTCCACCATTATAGCCTGATAGCGTGAAGGCTGTGTCGCTGATTTTGTCAGCGTATTTATAGTAGATCTTCGACGACTGTAAAAAGTGACTTTGGAGCTGTCCTGATTAATATTGGCTAAATAAATAGTGTTTCGATACTTCATCAAGTAGTGTCGTCGTTATTCACTCCAAATCCTCACGAACCTCGTACAAATGTGAACGTAGAAAATAATGTAACAACTAGTGTCAGAAAAAAAAAAAACCCACAATATTTTGGTTTTATTATGTTCATAATAGAAAACATTTGTTCACAAATATGTGTTGATCCAAATCTACAGCAATATCTGATGGCCAAATCATGTAAATTTGGAAAATTGCTTGTTGTTATAAATATCCGAAATTCATTATAGTTCGGATCACTTACGGTTGAAATAAGTTCATTATATTTGTTTTTAGAGTAGTATGGTGCTGTAGATCAATAATTTTAATTTGGATATCAGGTGGGTAACAATTAATGTCTTGCAGAGAAATTGAAAAGGGATTTGTGAAATGATCAGCGTTATTTTTATCATCTTGAAAATCATTAAACCTAGTACTAAATGATTCCTGCAAAATGGATATTAAATTTTAAATCTGTCATAGTTCAGAGCATTATAGACTTTAGTAGCTAATTCCTGCATTAATGTGAAATGTGTTAATCTTTTTTCTCCAAAATCGGACAAAAATGTGAAAGTTTGTTTCCGAAAGATGATATGTGATCAACTAGGATAGGAAAAATACAGTCTTTTCCCTGTAATATTAAATTTAAGTTATTGAACCGTTTTGCAATGGCACACCTTTGTTTAAGACGCTCATGCCGGACAGAAGGAATTGAAAGCAGTCACCGTACAGGATGGGGGTTTTGCATCGCTAAACCTAATTGTATAAAAAAAAAATCAGAAAAAAAAAAAAAAGTTTTACTTTTAGCATCGTAATTTTTGGTATAATTTTAGATTATTATCTTAGCTCTTATATATGTTAAAATTAAAGACTTAATGTTAAAATTAACAACACAATAAAGACTATTTACAGTAAGAAGTAACAAAATTTAAAATGAAGACTGAATGTGGTAAATCTCGAAGCACAAAGAAGTATTACTTTCTTACTATTAAAAAAAGTATCACTTTCTAACTCTTTAGAAAATGAATCATCACTCTTATCTGTGTTAGTAAATGGTTCATTAACCATATGAGTGTACTCTTCCTCTGATAAATAGCGCCTTCACGCCATAATAGATGGGAAGTGATGCTTTCCGAAATAAAAAGAGAAGCCGAAATATATCTGAAGGCAATGCAAAATGTAACAGAGCTTCACATAGTAACCCTATCAGACCGTACATAGTAGAGAAAAAAATAGAATAAAAAAAAAGGAGTTGGATATAAATCAGACATGTGAATGTTTATGTTAGCATGTGGCGACTTAAAGAGCCCACCTCTGTTTATGCTTCCCCACACACACACACCCTCTCAACAGTTGATGAATAAAATACCAAAGTCAGGCAGAATATATCAAACTCAAGGTCAGGAACCTAAAACTGTGTTCATTTCAAAAGTAATGGGCTTAGGGTGCTATCTAGCGGTCTTCAAAAAAAAACATTCCAGCTTAAAATGCGTACATGCATCGCTCGTCCTCTGATTACAATCTCTAGTGATGCAAGGATGGGACACCTGGCTGTAAGAGACATTCTTAGAGAATGTATATATAGGACACCTGTCCGGAAAGTATTAAATGTCCCATAATATCAGTAAGAAAAGCTCAATCCCATAGCCAGTCTTTATTCTGGAGTAGCAAGCACTCACTGGGCAGTTCATTGTTTTCTAAAACACACTACTTCAAATTCCAAAATCTTGCGAGTGCATTTCCTTTGGAAAGCCAACGCTCACTACAATGAAGGGGTAACTCACCATCTTCCTCCGTTTCTTCTGGGAAAAAGCTCACAAAATCGTCGTCGATTCAGAGCTTGTATTTAGTTGATACGGCGGGTTACAGGCTCAAGAACAAAAGACAAGTCCTTCGCACAAAGAGCTCCATGATGGATAATACAATGATACTTAAAATCTTTTCTTCCCAAATAATTTTCAAGCAATGTAAACAAACCTTTTATCCTGCCATCCATGCAAGGTGCTCCATGTGTGCAAACACTGTCTAATTTTGTCCACTCTACTCTGTTAACTTCAATTACATTTTAAAATTTTTTTTAAATGTCCTCACCTGTAATTAAAACTAGTTGGCGCAAATCAAGAAGTTCTTCTGCAATATCAAAGTTATCGTTCGTGTAACGCACAAATATGCTTAATTGCTCATTGTCTGTGAGGTCACAGCTTCCAAAGTTAATGAAAAGTATTTGCAGTATTGTAATCCAGAGACAATTTGTGTGCCAACATCCTGGCCCATATCATCTATATGATGCATGATGTTATTTCTAGACAAATGTATTTTATCAACCATATTTTTGACATTTATAACACCGACGTTTTGGGCTATTTTTTTATTATCTCCTCGACATTAAAGTAGGGTTTTTTCTTGCAGGCTAACAATAAAGAAAGCTCATA